GTCACTTGACCACCTATTTTTCGCTCTAATTACATACGTTATTATTTTAATTTATTAGTTTTACAATAAAACAGAAACTTTGTTGAATTTCGTTATCTAAAAAATATTTCCCCGTGATTAGTTAAGTTTTCTTAGCGTAAACGCATAGTCACACAGAAAATATTTACAACGAAACTTTATTATACGCAACTGTTTTAATCTATACGATTCCTAAAATCGGAAATCCTTTACAGTAGGTAAAACTACATGTAATAACATTGCTAAAATATGTTGTACTAACGACCAATATTTGTGTATAAAATTGTAACTCCAACACTTACACGCTGTAAGTTGAACCCCATTACACTGAAACCAATTTAAAATAATTGCTTCGAATACTTGACTGAAGTGTGCACAGATATATAAGAATAAATAAAAGAAAGAAATAAAGGAACAATTAGATTTTATTATTAACATTACCTGCATATTTTAGGTTCTGAGAGAAAGGAAATTATTCAAATAACCCAGAAATATGTAAGAGGGGAATTGAAGTCTCCTTTGAAATCTTTACAAACGGTATTTGTTTAAGAGGAAACGAAGCATCGATGATAATGTCTCTTCATTTCCGGGTTTATTTGAGATATACAGGGTGAGTTTCTACTGACCGTGCTAACTTCGCCAGTAGGTTCTACTCACTAAAAGGAACAAAAAAGTTCCTATGAACCCATGTCCGATTCTCAAGAGTTTGGCTGTAATATGGAGTTTTGTGTTTTTCTTATTTTATTAGACTCTTCCCCACAATTTATGTAATAAAAACATAACCAATTACTCTAGAGAATTATAGTTAAAATCATTGGAAAGAGTATAAAATTTGCTATGAATCAAAGGTTTCATGTAACAATTATACCATTGTTTAGTTCGGTTTATATCAAAAATAAAGTAAAAACTACATTTAATGAATTAATTACGTAAATTTGTATGACCCCATTTTGATACATAAACCTACAGCTATGCAATGTTGAAATGCATAGAAAACTTGGTCATTTAATAATCTTTCAAATGATATGCTATTCAATACTATTATTGATAGAAACCAATGAGAAATTACTAATAAACTGCAATAAGACACGGTCAACAGATTTTGCTTTAACAGCGTTCGTACCAACGAATTAACAGATGTAATATTTTCTAAAATAGCTAATAGAATTCAATAATAATACAACTAGTTGAAATTAATTTTCATTTAATATCATTTGTAACGAATCTACTTCTTCATAAACTGTTGTAATTGAATATGTTTGAAATGCTATGTTGTAATGAAAATAAATCAAACAAAACATGAAATAGTTTAATACAGTATTAATGGCCACAACCTACGATAAAACAGTTATCGTTTGATGTAAAGTTAATAAAACCCTAACAAAACTCCTATACCCTTATTAAATACTCCTAAAATAACAGTATTTAAAATCAAAATGTTTACTATGGTGTTATTATTAAAAGTATGCAAAAGAAAATTAAAAAAAAGTTACTATCCTAATAATTTATACAAATTAACATGTTTTATGTCTATTGTTTCATTAACAGTCTATGTACATTTTGTGATAAGGCTGGTAAACAAATTTACTTTAATAAATTTTCAAAATGTCCACCATTAGCTTGAATGCACGCTCGAACTCTCTTCCTTATCTCTCTCACACAAGCTCTCAAGTTTACTTCTTCCCGAAGATGATTGGCTGCTCTTACAATCCGCTGTCTTAACTCTTCGGCATCGTGTACAGGGGAACGGTAGACTTCTGCTTTGAGAAATCCCCAGACATAGAAATCTACAGGCGTAAGGTCCGGAGACCGCGGAGGCCAAGGAACCGTCCCTCCTCTTCCAATCCACGTGTCAAAGTTGTTTGTTATGTACTCTCGTACATTACGGCAGAAGTGTGGCGGAGCACCATCAGCTTGAAAAATCATTCGCTCGCGCAAATTAAGTGGCAATTCTTCAAGAAGCTCTGGAAGGTCATCACGGAGGAATTGGAGGTACTGAGCGCCATTTAGGGACGGAGGAAGATCCAGGTATGGACCTACAAGATGGTTACCAATCAAACCAATCCACACATTTATTTTAAACCGGGACTGACTGCGTGATTCTCGAGCAAGATGTGGGTTTTCAGTTACATAAAAATGTTCATTGTGGTAGTTAAACACGCCATCTTTCGTGAAAGAGGACTCATCGGTCCACAAAATTCTTTTCAAAAAATCACCATGGTCATTCTGCAGGATCCATCGACAAAACTGCAGTCTCTGAGGGGGGTCCCTTGGCTCTAGAGTTTGGACTCTGGTGAAATGGTATGGATGCAGTCCTTCTTTGCGCAAAAGATTTGACACAAAACTTTGACTAACACTAAATTCACTGGCAACATTTCTTGTACTAGTCCTCGGATTTCTTTCCACACAGTCCAACACAGCCTCTTCTAAGCCAACATCCTGCACAACATTGCCAACTGTTCGCTTTTTGCTAGGAAAGCTCCCATTTTCGGTCAAACATCGATGGACACGAATAAACGTGCTTGCATTAGGTAATCGTCTGTTAGGAAAACGTCTACTATACTCACGACGGCTCTCCGCCGCATTACCGGAACAGTAACCATATACAAAGTGTATATCAGCATACTCTTGATTGGTAAAAGGTTCCATATTGTAATGAATGTTGAAAAACTCTTACAGTAATTGACTTGAAAACACAACATTAAAACAACAAATTACTCAACAATGTATGTTCAAACAGCTGAGTTATAGATGCTATAGATGACAAATCAATAACAGCTGACTTAAAGCAAGTACAAGGAAAAACTAATTATACAGCATTTAAGAATCAAACAAACTACATCTTTGAAAATGCAAAATATCTTTACTTTATACATTTTATGAATTTAGTTAATTTTAATAAATATTTAAAAGATAAAATAATATACAACTTATTTCAATATAATACAACATGGAGTAATACAGTAATTATTATTAACAGTAAAAACTCTACAAAAACAAAATCTGTAGACCGTGTTTTATTGTAGTTTATTAGTAATTTCTCATTGGTTTCTATCAATAATAGTATTGAATAGCATATCATTTGAAAGATTATTAAATGACCAAGTTTTCTATGCATTTCAAGATTGCATAGCTGTAGGTTTATGTATCAAAATGGGGTCATACAAATTTACGTAATTAATTCATTAAATGTAGTTTTTACTTTATTTTTGATATAAACCGAACTAAACAATGGTATAATTGTTACATGAAACCTTTGATTCATAGCAAATTTTATACTCTTTCCAATGATTTTAACTATAATTCTCTCTAGAGTAATTGGTTATGTTTTTATTACATAAATTGTGGGGAAGAGTCTAATAAAATAAGAAAAACACAAAACTCCATATTACAGCCAAACTCTTGAGAATCGGACATGGGTTCATAGGAACTTTTTTGTTCCTTTTAGTGAGTAGAACCTACTGGCGAAGTTAGCACGGTCAGTAGAAACTCACCCTGTATAAATTTAAAAACAGGCGTAGCGAAAATCAACCGATCGCGTACTCTATTGTATTTGGTGTTAGGTATTTTTTTCTTAAAGAATTGTTATACGAAACTCAGCAAATCTAGCTCATCAATTTCTTAGTCGCGCGTCACAACAGTTGAAAAAATATGAGCAATAAAAATAAATTATAAATATGATAATAATAGTTTATATTATTCCCAGGGTTGCCACTGTAATCATAGGAATGCAATTACATTGAAAATATGATAATTCGAACAATATTGAAAAGATATATAAGGGAAAGGTATGTGATAAGTTGAAATCATCACAATATTTAATCTCCGTATATTCAAGCTATATTAAATCGATTTCTTTAATATTCGAGAACTTAATAAGTTATTTAAATCTATAATTTAAGATTGTCTAAGGTTCATTTTCCTCTGTGTTAGGAATAGTATGCTAATAGTAACATGATTGAAAATTGTAGAACAATCAGCAATAAAACAAACGTAGTATATTTTTATCATTTTTTTTTAAATAAAAGTTACATTGATTTTTTTAACAGTTGTTGAACGTTATGGTTAAAATAAGACAATAAGGTTGTCAATAAAGGATACCAATGACATTTCCAAGCTTAGTTTTATATATAAGTTACAATTTTTTGTCAATCAGACTTGGTAAATTATTGATTACTGCACTCGCATTTCTAATTATTCTTGGTAATCGTGCAAAGGAAAGTCATTTATCAAAACTGTGCAGGCTTAGAAGAGCTTAAAATGATAAAACGTCTAAAATGTTTGTCTTGTAGTGCAATAATGCCTGGATGTTTTAGTAACTAATACTTTTAGTACTAATGGAATAAGAACGCTCAAAAGAACCCGGCACTATAATATTCAAGTAGACTAACCTGATTAACATATGACGCGGGACTGAGGACGAACATCGGTAGTGGAGACGTGACGTCATCTCCAAATACAGTGCAGCCACCACAACAAACTAAAATATTCCCTTGGCTGCTTCTTGAAGTATTAATAATTATATATATTACACTCGCCCCAAAAATAAAATAAAACTTTTCCTCTGGCTTAGCTCAAAATAGTCCAAGGCCAAGCCAAACATTTTAATTAAAATAAAATAGCTCAACAAAACTTTACTCCAGTCATTTCATTAATAACTCAGGTTAAATTGTCTCTACTAAACCAACTCATAAAACTCTCTTCAAAAATAAACTAAAAATCTTCTAATTTCATTAGGCCTAATTTTACTACAAGTCAAGTTTCTTCGGCTTCCGTACGATTCTTTGGGATCTTCGAAGTTGTGGTGATGGGCTGCACTGTACGCTGGTCTCCACTACCTCTTGATCCACTGGAGCTGACGGGAAGTCGGGAATGCTCACTCTTTCCGGGGACCTCCTTGGAGTTGGTTGCTTAGGAGGCTCGGAAGCTGGTTGAGGCGACATCCTCATTGGCGACTTGACTGGAGTGGTTTTCACAGGAGATTATTGCATAGGCCTATTAATCATGATTCCTTCTTCTTCCTCCTCTAACTGGCTATGCCTGAGGTGATCCGCGTGGCAAAACCTTGTTTTTACCAACACTTTGACTACATATGTGACAGCACTACGTTTCTCCAAGATTCTACCAGGGACCCATGACACTTGTTCTTGTCGCACCGTTTTGACCAGTACATTTTCCCCTTCCACAAAAGACCTAAAACTACCGCAATGTCTGTCAGCGGAATTCTTCTGCATTTCCTTCCTCTTCTCAATCTGTGACATTAAGTGGGGTTTCAACAAAGCCAATTTGGTTCTTGGCTTCCACTGAAGGAAGAGCTCGGCCGGAGACAATCCGGTTACAGTACTGGGTGTATTCCTATATACAAATAAGAAATTGTCTAGTTTATGCTGCAGTGACACAGCTGTAGAACCTTCCGCCAGGACTTGTCGCTTGAGATTCTTTTTCACTTCTTGCACACATCTTTCCGCAGCTCCGTTCGAGGCTGGGTGGTATGGCGGAGACAATGTGAATTTCACGCCATTATTTCTCAAGAATTCTTTAAACTCGGTGCTTGTAAAATTAGGAGCGTTGTCACTCACTAATTCCTGGGGTAACCCAAACGATGCAAACAACGATCGCAACCTTTCAATGGTTTTAGCAGAAGTGGTCGACTTCATGATAAAGACCTCGAGCCACTTAGAGAAGCTGTCCACAACTATTAACAACTGTTGCCTAGTTTGCGGCTCTTCGGCATAATCTATATAGATTCTTTGCCACCTACATGTACTTAGCGGCCACGGTTGCAACGGAACTTTTGCCACTGCATTTCTGGTGCATTGACACACATGACAAGCTGAAACTGTATCCTCTATACATTTGTCTAAACCAGGCCACCAAACATAGCTCCTAGCCAGCATTTTCATACGGTTGATTCCCGGGTGCTGGTCGTGTAGCAGCCGGATCACCGCATTACGAAGTTTTTCGGGCACAACCACCCTAGCACCCCAAATTACACAATTATTATCCACCGATAATTCTTCCCTCCTTCTATAAAAGTCTAGTAACTCAACATCCTTAACGTCTGGCCAGCCATGCCAGATGAAATCTCGAACCTTAGACAACACAGGATCCTTGTCAGTTAGCCTAGAAATATCCTTAGAGGTAATGGGCGCATCACTCACCAATTCAGAGCAGTTGAATACTTGCACACAGGTGTCTACGTGTGACACGTGGTTGGTCTCCAACTCCAGAGTTCGGTCGTCCGGCAGGGGCAGTCTGGATAGTGCATCTGCATGCGGCAAGTCAGCACCGCGTCGAAACTTCACTTCAAAATTATAGGCTGAGAGTATGAGGGCCCATCTCTGAAGTCGTGCGGCGGCAACGCCTGGAACTCCACGCTTGCTTCCGAAGATAGTTACCAAGGGGGCATGGTCTGTCTGTAAAATTACATTCTTTCTTTCATTAATATATTTATGAAATTTCTTGACGCCAAAAATAAGGGCAAGTGCCTCTTTGTGCAACTGTGAGTAATTATTTTCACTCGAACTTAGCGACTTTTAAGCGAACGCTATTGGCCTTTCAATGCCATCAATGAGGTGTGAGAGAACAGCCCCTACACCTCTGGGACTTGCATCACAAGTCAATATCAAGGGTTTATTTACATCATAATGCACCAGCACATCTGAACTTAAAACCCACAATTTGCTTTGCTGAAACACCTTAGAACAACTATTTGACCACAACCATTGCGCATCTTTCCTAAGTAGATCATAAAAGCAGCTGATTTTATCAGACAAATTACAGATAAATTTACCATAGTAATTTACCAATCCCACATAGGCCCTTAACTCTTCTTTATTTGTAGGTTCCGGGGCATCCCGAATAGCTTCTAAAATTCCTTCCTGAGGACTAATACCTTCGGCAGTCAAACAATATCCCAGATATTGTACACTAGATTGTAAAAATCTACATTTATTCTCATTTACCTTAACTCCATACTCGTGTAATCTTTGTAGTACACTTTCCAACCTTGATAAGGCCTCTTCTTTAGTTGACCCTCCAATCAACACATCGTCCAAGTAGGCGACAGTCCCCACCAATCCTCCAATGATCTTATCCATAGCAGCCTGGAATAAAGCAGGAGCAGACGACAAATCGTAGGGTAGACGACGAAGTCGCACAAGTCCTTTGTGCGTAGCCAAGGTTAGGAGTTCTTGAGATTCCTCAGCGACTGACAACTGAAGGTACGCAGCTTCAAGATCTAAGACAGAAAACCATTTACAACCCGCCAAAGAAGCGAAAATGTCCTCGGGTTGTGGTAGCGGGTAATGTTCAGTTTGAATAGCTTGATTAAGAGTCACTTTGAAGTCACCACAAAGACGCACTCCTTGGCTCTTTTGAATTACCACCAAAGGCGTAGCCCAGTCAGCACTGGTTACATGGTATGCTATTCCATCCGCAACCATGCGGTCAAGTTCATCTTCCACTGCCTTCCGCAGCGCATACGGCACTGGCCTATATTTACAAAATTTAGGTATGGCCCCGTCCTTCAACACAATGCGAGCTTTCACATCTTTTATTTCACCTGGACTACCCTTAAATACTGAAACATATTTTTGTTTCAACTGTTCCACAACATCTTGCCCAACCGAACAAGTTAGGTTAGGTGTGTTCATCTTATGAGCATTAGGCCTACCTGTGACCATCTGACCACTAAGTTTATCTACAGGTAAATCAGAGTAATTGCATGAAAATATAGATTTCCAATCTAACTTAACATACTTAAGCCAGTTACGACCTAGTAGCATCGGTTGGTTTTGTCGATTAATTTTCACTATCAAGAGCGGTAAATAATATGACTGACCATTACATACAACCTTTACTTGGGTTTCCCCCATAACCTTCACTTCATTACCAGAGTAAGTAAGCAATTTTATGTCCACTGGACTCAAACTCAAATGTGCAAAATGTTGATCATACAACTCCTGGGGACAAATGGTCAGAGCTGAACCAGTATCTACTTCCATATTAACAGATACATTTTCTATATCTAGTCTTACCTGGTAGCCAGGATTTTTATTACACACTCCAACATTATACAATGATACTTCCTCCATTTGATTAACCAAGCTAGGCCTAGGCCTAGACTCCTCCCTTTCCACTTGATGAACTTTGAATTTCCCTTTTGGACGAAATTTAGTAGAACCATCCTTGGAATTACAGGCCTTGCTCAAATGACCTATTTTCTTACAAATGTGGCACTTGTAGTTACTGTAAGGACAAACACTAGCCCTATGATCGGCACTTGTACAGCGGTAACACTGATTTAGGCTAGGCCTATTTGACATTTCACCTTTATTTCCAGCCCATTTATTCTTAGAGTTAACACTGCTATTAAAGTTTCTAACACCTGTTAGCGAATTTTTCCGAACACTGAATTTAGAAACCTCGTGGACAGTTTGGTTCGTGAAAAGACCGGTCTGTTTCTCAGCCTGTTCCAACAGGAGTGCCAAGGCAAAAGTCTTGTTGAAATCTAGTTCTTCAGACAGTAATTTCTGCCGAATTACATCATTATTTAAGCCCGAAATTAGTTTATCCCTCAATGCATCGGATAAAAACGAGTTGAATTTGCATGTACTCGCAAGGTGTTTAATTGCCACAGCAAAATCAGATATGGACTCGGTTGGTTTCTGGCAACGGCTGTAAAACGTGTAACGCTCTGCCACGACAAGTCTTTTAGGCGAAAAATGGTCTTCTAACACTTTAGTTAGTTCGTCAAACGTTTTTTCATCAACTGTTTTGGGAGAAAGCAAGTCCGATAACACTGCTAAAATTTTAGGTCCGATCACTGTAATGAGAATTGAAACCTTCTTCTCGTCTTTCACTTCGTTGGCTTTAAAGAAATGCTTGAGTCGTAAAAGGTAAGATTTTATATCCTCTTCCCCGGGATTAAAATCACTCATACGCCCTATCGACCCACTAGCCATTTTTACCAATTTACATACCGGCGACTGCGCCAATTTAGTAACTAATACTTTTAGTACTAATGGAATAAGAACGCTCAAAAGAACCCGGCACTATAATATTCAAGTAGACTAACCTGATTAACATATGACGCGGGACTGAGGACGAACATCGGTAGTGGAGACGTGACGTCATCTCCAAATACAGTGCAGCCACCACAACAAACTTAAATATTCCCTTGGCTGCTTCTTGAAGTATTAATAATTATATATATTACAGATGTTATTACATATATGACAATGCTAGGGACATGATACATTGCGTACGCAGACACGAGTAACGCACAGTAGACATATGGCATATAACTATCAGAGTAAATATCGTGATGCATTTGCATAATTTATGTGACATAAGCGCAATTATACAAGTATTTATAAAGGTATAGTACAATAGTATAGTAGAAAAATTAGTATTTGAAGGATAAAAGTGTATAAACACTAAAACTTTAATAACCATAGAATCAATGAAGAAAGTAACTCGTAATTAATAGGTTCCTTGGTTGATTTTGAAAAACAACAGTCGGATGTTGGTCTTTCATATATTTTGGATGAAACGTGGCAAAACATACTGTGTCGTTGAACGACGTAAACATGTTTTTAAGAGATTGTCCAGAATACAGAGAAGCTGCGCTACTTGATGCGGACCACGACTGTGTAATTCTGTTAGAGTTCAACTTGCTGCTACAAATGATAGGTGTAGAACTGGAAATTAATTATAAGCTTTTGACAACGTGAATTCATATTCACGACAAAGGGCACTAAAAAAAAAAAAAAAAAAAAAAAACACAACATTATACATTATTATTTTGAATGAATCGTATTAGAATGTAATCTTATTATTATTATAAACTGAAGTTAATGTACAATGTTATTTTGTGATTAAATAAAAAATTTTATAAAATTTCTGATTAGATTGAATTTAAAGTAATAAAGGTATAAAACATCCGGTATAAAAAAACTATAACGTAATTTTATGATCACAAAACAATGTTTTATAAGCTATCACTAAGCTAAGAATTATTTATAGTCCAGGAATTTTAGGGATTCAAATGCCATTCGACCTAACAAATTCAAACTACCTAGAAATTTTGCACAGCAGTTAAGTAAGCCATGTTCTTGAAAATGTCAAAAGTCCCCGGAAATCCCTGCTGTGCTTCAGCCGCCATCTTGGAAAATGGCGGCCAATTTTCACTTTTTTGACAATATTTCCCAAACTATTGGTATTAGAGATTTTTGTAAATACAAAAGTTAAAGAACACCTAAAAATACACATTTTTTATATTACAAGGTTTGCTCTATCTCTAACGGCTATTGAGATAAATAATAAAAATAGTTTTAAATTTAAAATTCCCATGTTATTCTTATGAAGGAAAAGAAAATTGTTGCAGTTTGCTTATTTATGGATATATTTTTATCAAACTTGGCAAATTTATTTATTTTATTCTAAGCTTTTAATATTAAACATAAATATACACTTTAGTACCCTCCCTATAGCAGTAAACCTAGTACTCGTTAAATTTAAAGATATTTAAATAGGGAATCCATCTTACATTTTTAGGATATATTTTTTGTACAAATCCAGTCAGGCAAATGGATATTTATTTTTTTAAACATATTAACAATAGTTTTCCCTTATTAATATTAGTAAGTTTAAAGCTCACTCACTATATTTTCACTACTATGTAACTACTTACACGGTAGGCCTACTTATTACTCCCGGTATAATTATTTAGTCGGTAAATATTAGGAAATTCAACCTTAAAATCCGGACTGAGGCACAGCCGGTATTTTTGGGAACTTTTGCCATTTTCATCAACTAGTCTCACTCTGTGCAAAATTTCAATTTAGTCCGGATTTTAAGGTTCAATTTCCTAATATTTACCGACAAAAAATTATACCTACCGGGAGTAATAACGTAGGTACCACTTAAGTTTTTAGTAGTTACATGGTAGTGACAAAATAGTAAGTGGGCTTTAAATCATAATACTAATAAGAAAAATGATTGTTAATATGATTGAAAAATGAACTTCCATTTGCCTGCCTGGGTTTTTATTAAAATAATACCTAAAAATGAAAGATAGAATCCCTATTTAAATAACTTTAAATTTAACAAGTACTACGTTTACTGCTATTGGGAGGGTTATAAAGTGTGTAATTATGTTAAATATCATTAGCTTAGTATAAAATAAATAAGTTTGCCAAGTTTGATAAAAATATATCCATAAATAAGCAAACTGCAACAATTTTCTTTTCCTTCATAAGAATAACATGGGAATTTTAAATTTAAAACTATTTTTATTATTTATCTCAATAGCCGTTAGAAATAGAGCAAACCTTGTAATATAAAAAATTTGTATTTTTAAACGGTCTTTAACTTTTGTATTTACAAAAATTCTCTGATACCAATAGTTTGGGAAATATTGTCAAAAAAGTGAAAATTGGCCGCCATTTTCCAAGATGGCGGCTGAAGCACAGCAGGGATTTCCGGGGACTTTTGACATTTTCAAGAACATGGCTTACTTAACAGCTGTGCAAAATTTCTAGGTAGTTCGAATTTGTTAGGTCGATTTTCCTAATATTCTTCCACTATTAGGAGATTTTGTAAGTTAACTTCAAATTATACTTTATATTGCTTAAAGTTTGAGAAGCTAATCATCAAGCTAAGCGTAGTATTAAGAAGTAATCAAACAAGGAAACTAGCTGTTAGTTCCTCCAGGGAAGCTAATTCTACTCGTTGATTATTCATTCCCGTCTTGCAGTCGACTTCCGCAACTTCCAAACATGTTTAGGTAAGACATTAGAGACTCAAGACAACTTTGTAAATGGTTAATGAATTACTAAATTTTCTTACAAATAGTAAAAGCACCAATAATATGGGTTTTCTAACTACGTAATCTTTCTTCATAAAGTTTTCATTCCAATTTTTATTAAGTTCGATTGAAAAACACCAAATTCACAAAGATTTGTTGTGTACAAAAACTTTAAATAACGGATATTTGTTAGAATAAGTATTAAGACAACTTGTACTCTTATAATTTCTTTACCTTGACCCGTAAAACTAGGCCTTCTACCCGAAAATTGACTTTTGACCTATTTGACAACCTGTATATAAATTAATTTTAGTTTAAGTTATAATAATAATAAATTATACTCGGAAACACATATCATATCCAGAAATAGTTTATACATTTTTGAAACGTAATACTGTTGTCTAGTAAGAGAAAAAAAATATAACAGTTGTGTAAAATATATCGAGAACTACTTCGCCGCATCTCTTCTCTAACTTTTATTTACAGCTCGCCGCTAACTTTGCTGATATCAGGCTTACGCGAGGAACGTGTTTTGTATTCACTAGATGTATAATGGCAATAAATCATTTCCTTACAAATCTAACATATGGCATTCATATAAAATACAAATATTTATGTATTATAAAATTAGAATGTAATTAATGGCGAAAAAGTATTGAATACTAGGACAGTGAAATTTAAGTCAATAGGTATGTAAAATAATTAGGATCAAAAATGCCAAAGAAATATTTCTTATAAAATTAAACTAGCTTAGAAGGAGAATCAATTACAATTAGGAAAGAATGTCATTAGCAAATCGTCTGGCAAATTGCTGTCATGGATTTATAAGATTAATCTGTTTGTCACTATAGATTGCTTTTGTTCAATCGTTTAAAACTTTGACTAAGTTTTTACTCAAATTCACAATCGTCGTATCTTTTTTGACCGAAAATTAATATTTTAATGCTTTTGAATTAAATTGTAATTATTACATTTACTGTTATTATAGTATTGTGTTTTCCAGTAGCCACTTACATATAATTCAAACCTGACGAAAGACTGAATTATTCTTTGTTTGAAGTTCATTGCTGGTGATGGTGAGTTAATTTTGCTCAAAGGTTTATTGCGGACATTTTCCATCACGATGGTAAAAAACAACCTACAACCTACAACAACCTATTCTTAGACCTATCTTAGATTATAGTGTTTTGTGATTGGTTATTATTTGCATGTTGTATAATTACTTGACTGCTATACAGTGCATATTTTTTGACTGCTACCCTCTGTAGTGTATTCCAACATTCATTGTTGGGCGTTTGTGTATTGTTAGTTGTAATGTGTCAGTTAAGTTTTTTTTTCACCTGAGGACGGGATCAGATTCCAGATCCCGAAACATTGTGTATTTTTTTGCCATCGTGATGGAAAATGTCCGCAATAAACCTTTGAACGACTGAGTTATGTTCTTATACCTGTAGATGTATTATTTATAATGTCGTTCCTTAGAGGAATTTTTAAATGATAAAATCAAATTATAGATTTTATTTCACTAACACTACACAAATGATAATTTATCTTAAATGCATCACAGCCACAATGAAAATCCCTGTTTCTACCCAAAAAATGGTACTTCTAAGACCCAATGACATAATGCTAATGATAGGCGGTAGTCCCATTAACTGACAGGACTTGGCCCGTTTCCTGAGGCATTACCAAGTTTCACGATATGACTTCTAATGGCAACTGGAAACTTGATCTCTGATATCTAACCTAATAGCAGATTAGTAACAAATTAAAGTCAAACCTAAGATTAATATTGCGGTAATCTTAAAAATGGTTGTAGATTTTATCGAAGCTGTAGTATGACATAAATTCAACCATAGTGTTAGATTCTCCTATAAGAATGACATACAACAAATGTAAGGTACATATCTTTACGTCGACAGTTCAAATATTGTAGTAAGTAAAAATTGCGACATGAACAACTAACAATTCTATTTAGGCATCGTCTGGTGATTTCCTTACAAGAATGTTTCATCTTCATCCATGATAGAGTCGTCAAGAAACATTTAAACAAATGCACAAACATAACGCACGAAAAACATTTAACACTTAAAGTAGGCCTACTATACCAACTGAATAGGTGAAACATGTCGTGAGTTTTACTTACTACAACAT